AATAATTATACTAATTTCTTTTTTTATTAATCTTAAATCTGCGAGATCTCGCAAAATACCGAGATCTTGCGAGATTACATGTGCACCTCTTAAATCTTGCAATACCAAGATTGTACATTTTGCTGCAAGATTGCATTCCCTAATAATTACCTTGCCAACTAAAGTTTTCAATTGACACTTGTCAATTGTGTTGGTTTTAGCCTATGTATACAACTATAGTTGTTCCAAAATCTGCCGCGTAAAATCGCGCCCTAATCAAAGTCAGTTTTTTTTAAATTACAACCCTTTATTTTTGTTGCATTTTTGGATAGCTACCGTTGTCCTGATTACATTGATGTGCCACACTTGGAGGGTTACATGGGAAAATTTTTGAGAAAAGCAGGTTTTGTCGCCGAATGAGATTTTGGTATTTTGTCAAACTTAAACACAATCTATGCTTAATGTTTTTTGGAAAGCCAATCAGAGCAGTTGCTCAAAGTGTCCACCGTAAACTATTTGGCAGTGGGCCAGCCTGTCCCCAAACAACCGTTGTATACAACGCTTGTTTGGGGACAGGCTGACGTATACGTTTGCCAGTACCGCTGGAGTGATCATCTGGATCTCGGCTTGAATGAGGTGTCTTGGGTCGTCCAAATCTTGAAGCCGGTTTACATAGACGCGGTTTTTAAGATGTCCCCATAAAAATAAGTCTAAAGGGGTCAAATCGGGCAATCGCGCTGGCCACTCGATTTGACCCCTTCGACCTATCCAGCGATTGGGAAAGACCTGATTTAAATAATCCCTTACTAGCAATGCATAGTGTGCACACCATGGTCGTGCCCCGTAACAGCGAATATATTGCCCCGTAACAGCGAATATATTCGCTGTTACGGGGCACGACCATTGTGTGCACACTATGCATTGCCAGTAAGGGATTATTTAAATCAGGTCTTTCCTAATAACTTATAAGTTCGTCAAAATACCAATATCTCAATCGCCGTCAAAAACCTGCTTTTCTAAAAAAATTTCTTATGTAACCCTCCACATGTAGCATATCAATGTACTCAGGACAACGGTAGCTATCCAAAAATGCAACAAAAATAAAGGGTTGTAAATTACTCAGGACAACGGTAGCTATCCAAAAATGCAACAAAAATAAACTTATTCGCTGTTACGGGGCACGACCATGGTGTGCACACTATGCATTGCTAGTAAGGGATTATTTAAATCAGGTCTTTAATTTAAAAAAAACTTAATTATTTAAATCAGGTCCTGTAATTAAAAAAAAAATTACTTCGATTGGGGCGCGATTTTACGAGGCAGATTTTGGAACAACTATAGTTGTATACATAGACTAAAATATTGCTAGAAAAATAACAAAGTTGACGTGTTTTAGCTTTTTTTTTAATTACCGTTTTCAATATAATCTTATGTTCCGGGACTTTACGGATACACTGTATATAAATATATATGTTATGTTATGTTTATATGTTTGAATATATTTTTTGTATTTTGCTGTTGTTGTGTACAATATAATACACAAATAAGTATGCTTTTTATGATTTATAACGGGAGTATGTTATTGTCGTTACTTAGTTAATATTTTAAATTGATTGTAATGAAATTGAAATGAATTTTTCTACTCCCACCTTTAAAACGCCCTTTATTGCAATACATGTACATGTTTCCATGACACTAAGTGACCTTTTAAATACACATTGACAAGTTGTGGCTTTATGGCGCTTTAGTCACGGGATGAAGTTAGCAACAGGTTTTTAGTCACGGGCTGAAGTTAGTTTTAAGTTAGTTGACAGTTGTCAAATGTCATACAATCGTTAAAATAAAGTGACTTTCTTGTAAAATAATACTAAATGTGAAAATTATTTTATTATCTCAATACAAAAATACAAAAGTATTAAATAGTTTCTCAACGCCAATATTTGAAAAGTTTATAACATTGTACTGACCTTTTAATTTCGCCGGTAGTAAACTATAACTTAAATTCGGGCACGGACTCCACTGTAAAGTGCTCATAAAACATTTTCTTTACTTTCACTGTGAAAAACTGTCAATTTTCAAAAAATACATTTCGATTTATAATCTGTGTTTATAAAATAAAAAAATTTGACATTTGACAGTGATACACCTATTGTTTCATAGATGACGCTCTTTTGATTTAAATCATTTTAAGATAATAATAAGTATTTGTCGTAGAAAAAGTATAGTATGCACCTTGTTTATAAACTTTTCTATACACTCATTAATTTAAGCGTTTAGAACGTCAAAATGGTAATTTGTAATCAAACTAATTGTTTTGAAAAGTGCTTATTGATTTGTTTGTATAAAATTATTTGCATTAACGTGTCATACTCGCCTATTTACTAAAATAAAAAGTAAACAATGAGGGAAAAAATAATTCTTTGCAAATAGGTACTTAAATACATACACGCAAATTGTAAAAAAACAATAAATCTTCCAGCGAGTTGCTAAATGATGCTAAATAATTAATTTTAGTGTACTTATTTCGTATTATTATTATACCAGGTTTTATTAAATTTATTAAGAAAACATTGTACATTTTTGTTCAGAAAGCTGAATTGGATTTTCTGTAAAATTTAATTAAAATCAGGCCAACAAAAAGATTCTATAGATTTATATATATATATAGTTCTTGATAAAATTTCAAAAACACTTTCTGGGGCTACGCACATCACGAATTTACAGCAACAACCCCACGACTCATGATGTCTCTGAAGTCAACATTCGTAATTAGTGGATAGGAACTAATAAACTAATTAGCTTGTTTAAAGAGCTGCGGTGGTTACTTAATCAAATTTTGTTTAATTATTTCATAAATATGTTCATAATTAAAACCATTTGCATTTTTTTCTTTATACTCGTATATTAAAATTAGCGTAAAAATGTACTTGGAAATGCAAAATTATACATTTTTAAAAAGCATTTACAATGGAATTATTATTGTAAAGCCTTTAAAAACATAAAATCAGAGAAGCACTTAAATGGAATATTCTTTGACGCCGTGCTTTTAAAAATGTTATTCTCTCTGCGTCGAGCGAATCAAATTTAAGTAAATTTTCGCTTCACGAATAAATTAATTTAGAAAAAAAACAATAAAGTTTTAATTTGAAACGATTTTAATAAATTTTGCATGGTCCCATTTAACTTTATGAAGCCGTAACTTTGTCATCTATTAAATTATGATCTGAAAATTTTTAACAAACACCCCTCAATTTGTTTAAATTTATCCCTTACTGCTTTAAATATATATTTTCAACAAGGCTAAATAAACATACTCTCTTAAAATGAAATAGTCAAAATTCTACTATTTGAATTAGTATCAGCATTTTTTACTAATAAAATAGACGTTTTCACTTTTAAATACTTATTTTTTTTTCAAGCGGCCATGATATACAACCTTATATGCATGTATAGAGATAGTTGAAGTGCGTCTTTTTCATTAGCGGCAGACAAAAAACTCAAAAAAGCCTAGGGATAGAAGTAAATCCATAGGTGACTCAATAAACGTCAAATAATAAAATTAATTTAGCATTTCATACAAAGCAATCACGATGTATTAATTATATTAATTATAATCGTACGGAATATTTAGTGATTATTTATTAAATTTTAATTGAACGAAATAAAGAAAAACTAGTTTATTAGTATAATATTATGATGATAGACGAGTCGCCAATGTCGAAACTTCAAACAAATGTCAGTACGTCAAAATTAATTCAAGCGCAGCATTTTGACAGAGCAGTGTTTAGTTTTAGTTTCGGATATTTATCGGCATTGTAAGTAAGGTTTATTAGTTTTTTTAGTTTTTATCAATAATTTCTAATGCTTTTAGCCAAAATTTTATCCCACACGAGTTATGAGTAAATAAAATAATTCTATTGCTTATCCTATTTATATTATGCCCTTGAAAAAAAAATTGTATATGTTATTTGGAGTAGAAGCTCTTTTTGTGCTTCGTACAGTTGCCTGCCTCAGCTACGCTTCGGCCGTCAATCTATGTACTCACCACAAAAAGAGTCACTTCTACTCCTTATAACATAATGTACTATTTTACTACGTAGATGGTTAAACTTTGACTAATTAAGGATTAGTCACCATCTTTGACTATTTCTGAGAGTTAAAAGTAACTAATTTCTTTAATCGTTTGCGGTCAACAACAAAGTATTATTTGAATTAAATGCATATAGGCTCCATGGTTAAAGGGCCCATAAAAACATACAAAGATGCAAACATTTTAGCTCAAAACAGAAACCCAAATAATATATTTAATATTATGAACAATATTTATTGACAAATAAAATTGATTTTTATAAGAGTGGTTGATAGCCACATTGGTTATGACAATAGCTTGACAAGCTTGACAAGCGACAGACCTGAGTTCAATCCCCGGCTGGGTCAAACTTTTTTTAAATTTAAATCTACTAATTTGAATATTTCATTCAGTAGAATTTGACTAATTATTAGTGACTGCTTTTTTACTATGACAATAAGTCAAATATGACTTATAATTAGTTATTTTTGACTAATTAATTTTAAGAGAGTACGGACAATTTAAACTTCCTGTATCCTTTCAAGTTAAAAGTTTTAACCATACAATATAAAAATATCAAAGTTCATCACCGTAATCCAAAAATAGATTTTAACAAGACCAAAAATTTTTGTTGATTGATCTCAATTAATTTTCGAGATATTAAAAAAAGCATTTTTAAAATTTTGACACCCAGTATTTCTTAAAATATTTTTATATACCTCAAAGGGTTTTTAAGATATTTACTAAAAGTAAAAGAACGTTACAACTTTAACACCATGTATCTCTTGAACCAAAAGAGATAAAATCCTCCAAAAGTAACGCAATAATCCTTAATATTATCTCCACACTCCTTTCGAACTTCGCGATTTTATCTCGATTAATTTCCGAGATATCCCAAGATATACCAAAATGCATTTTATAGGGTAAAAAAAAATTAAAAAAATGGACTTACGATCTTTTTTGTCTCAATTAAAACATCCTCGGGGGAATTAGGGGAAGCGTAAGCAGACCCCCCTTCAATTATATACTGCCCACCTAAGCCTAAGTGCACCATTTTGCCTGATTTCGAAAAACCTGTGAAAATATTTTTTTATTGGTTTTCCCGTAAATTTGTTATATTTTGCTGTCTACAATATAATTCATCGCGTTTTCATTCAAAATTAATAAAAATACAAAACAAATCACTGAAATATGACGTTTTTTAACAATTGGCCACAATTTTTCCGGATTCGAGCCCTATCGACCAAAGACAGCAAAACAAAACAAATGCAACATGTCGCGCGTTAGACTTACACGAAAACGCGGAATGTAGGCGGAATGCGAGCGAGCGTCGGTAGGGACAGAACAAATCGAGTAACAAGCGAAAATCGGGTGAGCTAGGTCCGACTTACTAAAGAAGATCGTAGCGGCTCGTGACGCGTCGCGACGACCGAACCTGGAAGATTTATGAATGAAATCAATGAGGGCCTTGAGTGAGAATTTCGGTTCAAGTACAAATGCATGTTTTTGGTTTTTTTTATTTAAACTATTGAATATTGGCAGGTATCTCGAGATATCTCAAACATTTTTCGCAATAAAGGTAAAGGTATTATTAAGAATAAATTAACAAATTATTAGAGGAATTTTTTTTTTTTGAAAATTACTTTGGTAAATTGTAATAATTTTATATTTTATGGTTTAAGAGATACAGGATGTTAAAATTATAAAATGGTTTACATTGTTGAAAATTTTACAAAATATCTAGTAAATGACAACAACAATTTAGGGGATTGTTAAGATATATTTTTGGATAACTGTGATAAACTTATAGGTACTTTATCGTTTAAGAGATAAATGGTGTTGTAATTATACATATGTTTTACAGCACAATGCCTTATTGGGGATTTTAATAAATATATCAAAAATAGTACGAGATAAATTAAAACAAATTTAATTTTTAAGAGATTAGGATAATAATATCGAAATCACTTTTTTAAACTTTGATCATTTTATCTTTTGTTGTTAAAGAGATACAGGGTGTTAAATTACAAGATTATTTTACAGTTTTAATATTATTTTAAAAACGGTTCAAGATAAATTAACAAAATATAAGAGAATTTTTGAGATATTTTTAAGAATGACTGGGTTAAATTTTGATGACTTTATATTCTTGGTTTAGGATATACAGGGTGTTAAAGTTGTAATATGTTTGATTTAAAATGCATTGCTGTACATTTTTCAAAATATCTCAAAAACAGTTTAAGATAAACCAACAAAATTTTGAAAGATTGTTATTGCAGGTGACTTGATACAATTTTGATACTTTTATTTTATAAAGTGTTGAAATTGCAAAATAATTCATATGTAAAGGCATATATAAATATCTTATAAACGTTTTAAATAAATTATCAAAATTTTAGAGAAAAGTAGAGATCCTGTATCTTCTAAACCATAAAATATAAAATTATTTAAGGATTATTTTGTTAAATTTTAATAATTTTATATTTTACGGTTTAAAAGATACAGGATAATAAAATTGTGATACTGTTTTGCGTTAAAATGCATTTTTGTAAAGTTTACAAAATACCTTTAAAGCGTTTTGAGATAAATCAACAACATTTTGGGCTAGATAATATTGCAAATTACTTTCAAAGTTTAAGATATCTCAAAAAGTGTTTAAAATAAATTTAAATTAATTGGTATTTTCTCAATATAAACAATTTTAGTTTATTCCGACGTAAGCGGTCTTTTTAATAAATTTTTAAAATAAAATATTACGTCATTGGGAATAAGAAAATTTCGTTTTATTTTTCTTGGGTTGGCAAAATGGAAACAAGGGAAATACGGGGATTTAAAAGATTAACGAGACCGAGTCGGAGTGGTTTTAGCGTTATAATTACATGTTTTGGGGATTAGGAAAAAAGCGGACGTGAAATAAAAAACCCTGAAATTCTACGTAAAATAAGTAGTTTTTTGTGTAATATTATCGAATTAATTTAAACGTCAAGCCAGAAATTGGTATAATCAAAGCCAGACAATCCATTACAATAGAGATAATCGATACAATATACAGGATATCCATGAAATTTTCAAACTTATTATCGAAATTCGAGTTTTGTTCAATCATTTTCTTCGGAAAATAGTATTTAACACTATTTTTGAAGACAAGTGCTAGTAGGTAAAATATATAATAAATATTGACCTACAGTAGCACCATCTAGGGAAGATAGCATACACTCTAAGAAAATATATTGTAATCCCTAACAATATAGATTTGTTATGCAAAATATGGTTCATTTAATTATAACTTAGGGTTGTAATAACAATATACGAAAAATTAGTTTTGTTATATGTACAAAATGATTAGTTATAAAAATTTAGTAAAGTTAGATATTTGATTAGGCTATTACAACCATCATGTACGGCTAAACTGTTAGTACTACACTAGATGGTTAAAATTATAAGATTATCTGGTTACAATAACAATATAATGTTGTCACACATTATTAACAATATGTCGTTGTAGTTTTTACTATACAGAAAGTTTATACATATCATACGAGAGGGTTATAAGGTATTTGCATATGATTATTATAACTAATTAAATTATTGTTTTGTACAACAACAAAAATATAGTTAAAGTGACAATAAAACTGTTACAATATAAACATGGTTAACATAACAGTAAATATGGCTGTGCCTATACTAATCAGAATATTTAGTAAAAGTTACTATATATTCGATTAAGATAACCGTTGTTTTTTCTTAGTGTAGCTTAATAGTCGACGTCTGGAGCTGGTTATAGCTTTAACGGAATAGTTTAGAAGAGTGTGATTGTTAGTTTTGGAGTGTTATTGTTTGAAATTTCACTTATTTACGATATCGTTAAGGTTTATAAGCTTCAGTCCAGAAAAACTACGAAAGGGTATGAAATAAGTTAGCGTTTATTTTTTTGGTTTTGTTACCAATGAGGTTAAACACGCCTAACCTGCCACCTATCTGCCTCAACATTAGCCATTTTAAACAAATTTGGAACAGTTGTAGATACATATATACAAGGTATGTATTGTACGCCAATATTTATAATATCACGTTCGTGGTCTATTAAAAGTTTTTGGGGAACGGCAACAGATGTCGATTTAAAATTTTATAATCGATTTAAATCTATTTTTCTAAAATATTTTGAAAAAAATTCCACTTCCGGTTTAACCGGAAGTAATATCAACCATGTTATTTTAAATGGAAAACCCCATATATTTTTAAATTTTTACCTTAAGTGGATAGTTTTCGAGTTATTTTTTTGTTAAAATTTGACAAATGCACGTCAATCAAAAATAGCTTATAACTTTGTCGTTATTATGTTTGCGCATATGGGGGGTGGAATTTTTGGAATCTTAATACATTCTTTAAAACATTTCATCAATACTTTAACAAATTATACTTTATATTATATAAAAATTACATATAAAATTATTTTTATTATATTATTATTTTATTTCTATTATTATTAGGTTTTCAATTGTATAATAATTTACCACCTGAAATTAAATACTGTGATAACTTTATTTTAAAAACTTGTTAAAGTATTTTGTGATAACAAAAATTGTGATATATGTATTTAAAAAGTAAAAATAATGTAAATGTGTACTTGTTTTAAATAGCGGAGGCTAAAAAATATATTATTATTATTATTATTATTATAATTACTTGAGAATGGCAGTCTGCCATTGGCAGATTAGTCTAACTTGAAACGTTAATAACTTTTTTTTTAATGTAACACCCTGTATGTACTTAATCAATTAGGAAATTAAAAAACATTTCAATTGATGTAACTTTTTTCTATACCTAAATTAAATAATTTTAGAGATATTTAACAATTTCTAATATTAGACCCAGAATAGTCGATAAGAGCAACGTCTCATGTCTTACTTTTCAAATGCTTGAATGTAAATGGAGGACAAACCATTTTTTAGTAAAAAAAAATTGTAAATTAAAATATTGTAGGTTTTTTAATTTGTTAATACATTGTTTAAAACATTTCATCAATACTTTAACAATTTATATTTTATATTATATTATATAAAAATTATATATAAAATTATTTTTATTATATTATTATTTTATTTCTATTATTATTAGGTTTTCAATTGTATAATAATTTACCACCTGAAATTAAATACTGTGATAACTTTATTTTAAAAACTTGTTAAAGTATTTTGTGATAACAAAAATTGTGATATATGTATTTAAAACGTAAAAATAATGTAAATGTGTACTTGTTTTAAATAGCGAAGGCTAAAAAATATATTATTATTATTATTATTATTATAATTACTTGAGAATGGCAGTCTGCCATTGGCAGATTAGTCTAACTTGAAACGTTAATAACTTTTTTTTAAATGTAACACCCTGTATGTACTTAATCAATTAGGAAATTAAAAAACATTTCAATTGATGTAACTTTTTTCTATACCTAAATTAAATAATTTTAGAGATATTTAACAATTTCTAATATTAGACCCAGAATAGTCGATAAGAGCAACGTCTCATGTCTTACTTTTCAAATGCTTGAATGTAAATGGAGGACAAACCATTTTTTAGTAAAAAAAAATTGTAAATTAAAATATTGTAGGTTTATTAAAATGTTACAGTGAAGCATTCCTTTAGTTATTAAAATATTTCATAAAATAAACTTTATATTTTATTGTCTTCAATGAGCTAGGCTTCATCTAGTTGACATCCTACAGCTTTATTTTTTTTTTCAAAATTAGCAAATACTGTAGTTTGTATTACTTATAAATTTTAAACATGTCTGCTTTTTTTATAAGTAATTTTGTTTACAAAACAAATTGTTTATGACCTAAAAAATTGACCATAGATACCGTCAACTCACACACGTCTCTTGATATAAAATAATATTTAAAATTTTAGAAATTGTTAAGTATATCTGAAATTATTAACTTTAGGTATGGAATGGTTTTGTTTTGTGCTCTTTTAGTTCCACCCTTACTTCTTAAGAAGTCCCATAAGCCAACTGAATGGCTTGTGCGGGTTAGGGGTAGAAACGGACCGCGG